GCAACGCGCTGCGGGCGACCGGAAGCAAAGCAGCCACGCTTGCAGCCAGGAGCCCATGCAAATTGCAGCGCAGTGGGCAGCCCTGGCCCGTGTGGCTCAGTGGGTAGAGTGGTGGCCCTCGGACGAAAGGGTTGCGGGTTCGATTCCCGGTCAGGGGCAGGGACCTCGGCTGCAGGCTCGATCCCCAGCCCCGGCCCCAATCAGGGCGAGGGCAGGAGGCAACCCACCGATGTGTCTCTCTCCCACCGATGTTTCTCTGTGTCTCTCCCTCTCTCTTCTACTCTCTCCAAAAATCAGTGGAAAAGTATCCTCGGGGGAGGATTGAAATAAAATTATAAATGCACTGGGCACGGTTCTCGGACGGCGGGAGGCCCACCGCCCTTCCCCTCGGGACTCGGCTCCTTGCCGCCTGGGCCTGAGCCTACGTGGAGAGTCGGGAGCAGCTGCAGCCACTTTGGCACCACGAGGGGCTCCCCACGGAACCCAAAACTCCCGCCCTGCCAGGGCCATCCTCCTAGCTTCCCGCCCAGGGAGCCCGCAGGGGGAGATGCCAGCAGAGGGAGACAGCCACAGCTGAGACCCCCGCCCTGATGCGGGCTGTGTGGCCGTGGAAAATTGCTTAACCTCTCTGTGCCTTCACTTCTTCTTCACACACAGGGGGCTCGAGACGCCACCTGTGGTGCAGGCCGCCTGCGCTGGTGAAAGGGGAGGGATGTGGGGTGTGTACAGCCCTGGTGACGGGACCCCAGGCCCCTGGACAGGACCCCAGGCCCCGGCAAACCTGAGCGACTGTTCCCACGCCCGACCCAGCCTGGCCGCCACCGCGCCTACCTCTAGCAGCTGCACGGCGCCTTCATGCTCCTTCTTCGCTTCAACCTGAGCCTTGTTGGTGATAAAAAGAGACAAGTGAAGGTTAAGGGGGGGTCTGAGAGAACGGGGGGACGTCCAGGTGAGCTGGGCGTGAGCCCTGGCTTCTGTCCCCCTGATAAGCCCCGAATTCCGAACGTCGCGATCAGCTCTCATTTTTCTCCCCCGCCCCACCCCTCCCGGCACGATGGGGTGGATCCCTCTGCGTCCGACCCTGTGAACACTGGGGGGCGCACCCTGATCTGAGAGCGGGGGGTGGGGGGTGGG